CGAGCTTCCCCCACCTGGGGCGAACATCGTCAGTGGCATGTGGATTTTCAGGGTGAAGCGGCCGCCGGGTTCTCCGCCTGTCTTCAAGGCACGTTACGTGGCTCGAGGCTTCAGTCAGCGGCAGGGAGTTGGCTACTTTCAGACCTTCTCCCCCACCCCGAAGATGACCACTCTTCGGGTGCTGCTGCACATAGCCGCTCAGCGCGACTACGAGCTTCACTCTCTTGACTTCAGCACAGCTTTGTTGCAGGGCAGCCTGCACGAGGAGATCTGGCTGCACCGCCCACCTAGCTTCACTGGGTCGTTTCCTCCTGGTACCCAGTGGAGCCTCCGGTGGCCAGTCTACGGTCTCCGCCAGGCGCCCCGTGAGTGGCACGACACACTGAGGACTACACTTGCGGCTCTTCGGTTTGCTCCGTCTACTGCCGACCCGTCGCTATTTCTGCGCACCGACACCTCCTTGCCGCCGTTCTACATCCTCGTGTACGTCGACGACTTGGTCTTGCCACAGCTGACACTGCTGGACTCGCCCACGTGAAGTCCGAGTTGCAGAAGAGACACACGTGCACAGACCTGGGTGAACTGCGCAGCTACCTTGGCTTGCAGATCACCCGGGACAGAGCACAGCGTAGCATTACCCTGACTCAGTCACACATGGTGCAGCAGGTCCTCCAGCGCTTCGACTTCACGTACTCCTCGCCTCAGCCCACTCCTATGTCTACTCGGCACTCGCTCTCAGCTCTGCCTTCGGATGAGTCCGTAGAGCCGAGTGGCCCATACCCAGAGCTTGTTGGCTGCCTCATGTACCTGATGACCTGCACACGACCTGACCTAGCATACCCTCTTAGCATCTTGGCACGCTATGTTGCTCCTGGGAGACACTGACCAGAGCACATGGCTGCAGCGAATAGGGTGTTGCGCTACTTGTGCAGTACGTCACGCATGGGGCTAGTGCTTGGAGGGCGACGTCCAGTGGTCCTCACAGGTCACGCAAACGCTTCTTGGGCTGACGACCAGGCTACGCAGCGGTCGTCACAGGGTTACACCTTCAGCCTTGGCTTCGGCTCTGTTTCGTGGCGGTCTACCCGCTCGTCTTCTGTTCTCGGCTCCAGCTGTGAGGCCGAGATCTACGCAGGGGCCATGGCTGCACAGGAGCTACGCTGGCTCACCTACCTGCTGACTGACCTAGGAGAGCCGCCTCGTTCTCCTCCAGTTCTCTACGTAGACAACAAGGCCATGCTGGCCTTGTGTCGGGATCACAGACTGGAGCACAGAACGAAGCACATTGCTCTTCGCTACTTCCTTGCTCGTGAGCTGCAGCAGCATGGTCAGCTGCGCCTTGCTTACGTGGCCTCTGAGGCCAACACTGCTGATATCTTTACCAAGGCACTTCCGCCTTGTGATCATCAACGCTTTTGTACGATGCTAGGTCTTGTGCCTACTTGGCCTCACTTGCTCACTTCTTGACTTTGCTTGTACTGTGATCTATATATACCTGCACTTGCATGTTTACCCTTGCTAGGTTGAGATCAGTGCCTTGTTTGTTCATCTTGATATATAGCTCCGCATGTGAACTGGCCTTGTGGCCTTGTGCTTGTGCTATGATTGTGTGGTGACGTTGTGATCCACCCTGAGCTTGCCTTGCTTCTCTTGGCTGGTCTTGTGACCTCTTTTTCTCCCCCACTTTGCCTATGGGGTTGTGTCAAACTTATATGTTATAGTCTGTGTAGGCTGTAGTGGGGTAGCTCATATGGGGTACAACACTTTAGGGTTTTCCTACTTTCACGTGAAGGCTATGCTTTTAGAACGTAGGATAGAGACTCTCTGGAATTTCTGTTCGAATGCATTGTTGTGCCAACACATTACAGTGGCACGGTCATCGCACTCCCATTCGGCCTACAAGCCTGCTCAGCTTCTGGAATTTTGTGGGGAGGGTTTTCAACATGTGTTCTTCAAACCCTCAAAGTTTTTAGAGTTTTTGAAGCAGTTACCAAGGCATGACAACATTTTATGTTTCAAGACTTATGGCATCCCGGAAGTGTGTGTTACTCCTTTTTGGTAACACCCGAGTTCACTATTTCGGCTGTTGACTCGTCTACCAAGCTCAGATTGGTCTAAAATTCGGTCTGGCAGTTGTTTGCCCTGATGTGCAGGTGGTCACTAAGTTTCAGAACGATCCAACATCTGAGCAGTGCGTGACAGCTGCCGAAATGTACTGTTTTGATGTCGCCAACGCGTTCCTCTACGCACCTGTCGACGCGGAAATCTTCGTCGAGCTCCCACACGGTACCAACGGGGAACCTAACCAAGTCCGTCAACTGCTGAAATCACTTTACGGGATCAAGCAAGCTCCGCGGCTATGGCAACATTACCTACACGCTCGCCTCATTCGCATCGGATTCCGCCAACTACCTCACGACCAAGGAATGTACCGACTCACTAAAGACACCGACTACATTCTGCTGATCGTCTACGTAGACGACCTACTCTACATCGGCTCCACTGACGACATCACCACCTGGTTCGAAGGGGAGCTAAAGAGGGACCTCACACTCACGGTCTCCTCTACCGTCACACAGTACCTCGGCTTAAACATTCGGGAAGAAGAAGGCGCGATCTACCTCAACGCCGCTAAGTATGCCGACACCATCGCCAAACGCTTCGCGCTCACACCTACCACCATCTCTACGCCCTACCGCTACGGGACAGGAAACCACAAGGAAGGATCCTCTCTACTCAAATCCGCCGGGATACGCGACTACCAGAGAAAGCTGGGCTGCCTTCTCTTCGCAGCCGTCACCTGCTGCCCAGATCTATCCTACTCCGCAAGCCAGCTCGCCACCTACCTCAAGAAGCCTGAAGCAGAACACCTGGCGGAGCTCGACCGCGCTCTCCACTACTTCGTCAGTACCTCAACGATCAGCCTAACCTACTACAAGAACACAACCACATCGACTAAATTAATCGGCTACGTCGTCGCTGATCACGCTGGCGACTCAGACAATAGGCGCTCCCGCACTGGCTACATCTACCGCCTCGAACCTATCGGACCAATCTCCTGGCAATCGAGTAAGCAGGAATTACCGTATCCCCCCGGATATACCCCCATGGGGGGCAATAATAAAACAGGTTTTTTCATGGGGGTGGGCTTATAATCGAGTAAATTTATAAGCGCCGGCGTTTATGAAATGACATACATATTTTTTTATATCTTTTAACACCAAACTGTAGGTCTCGTGCTTGCCTTTTCAATCGAGTCGAAGTTACATGGGATCGTCTGTGAAATTCTCGCGCGCGCTGGGAGATACACCCAATCTGACTCACATCCAGCTCCTGACAGGTCCTGCTGACTGGACCCGCATCCAGTGCAGGGTCCGAATGTGAAGGGAACCGATTCTGCAACATATCCGCCTGCTAAAGTAAAAATCGTTACAGCTTTTTGAACACATTTCAAATTTTAAAGTTTACGTGCGCTTATAATAAAACAAGTTTTTTCAAGGGGTGCGCTTATAATCGAGGAGGGGATATAAGCGCCATATGCCAATTAGAAGCGCCAGGCGCTTATCCTAGGGTGGCGCTTATATCCGGGGGGAGACGGTAATTGCTCTCTCGTCAGCTGAAGCAGAATATATTGCACTCTGCTCAGCCACCAAGGAAGGACTCTATCTTCGCGAGCTGCTGGAAGAAGCGAAGTTAGCCGAGTTACCCAACTTCACTCTGTTCTGCGACAACCAATCTGCAATTCGCATCGCCAACAAAAATGGATTCGCGAACAGAACGAAGCATATCGCTCTGCGATATTTCTTCGTGAAAGACGAGATTGAAAAGGGGAGACTTGAACTATCCTACTGTCCCACGTCCGAGATGGCAGCTGACTACTTGACCAAGAAGCTCGGAAAACAGAAGTTCGAGTACTGCATGCTGCTGACTGGACAAAGCCACGTCACCAGCAGCGACACTCCAGAAGAGAAGGGGAGTGTTGGGAACAAACAATCTTAAGCGCCTCTGTCATGTCGAAACACCAAGGCACAAGCGAAGCAGAGCATATCGAGGCACCAGCGAGTCAACCCTCGGAGGTTGAAGTAACCGTTGGAGGTTACGCGAAAGTCGAAGGTCAGCGACCTTTGACTTGACAAATGCAGCGCGACAGCAAGGACACACAACTGACTCGACATTGAGCAGTTGCCCGAGTCGCACTGCATCGAACCGCAATAGTAAAACAGTTGAATTATATCTCTTCGTTTTCTTTGTACTCTTATATAAACCTTTGTACTTGCTTGTTTTAGACAACTTACTTTGCCCTCACATACCAGCGCAAGGTGATTCAAGGACTTCATTTAAACGCTTCCGCTACTACATCTCTACTCAGAGTTTAACCCTACCAAAGATCCTAAGGGGCACTCAGCCCAACACCTCCCACCCCCTCCCTCATCTCCCTTCTCTGCCAAACAAAATCAAAGAACGCAGCTCACGCGCCCTGCACAGAGCAAAAACAGAGAACGCAAAGCACGCGCCCTGCACAAGAAAAAGGCAAAAACCAAGAATGTTCACACACTGTACAAAAAAATCAATTAAACATATAATGCTTCCCTACGAGGAGGCCAAGCAGGAAACGCAACTCACCCGCATAAAGCAAAAACAAAGAGAATGCAGCTCACACATGCACTTGAAACGAAATAACAAGAGTATAAAATAGTTGTTGATGAACGCACAGATCAATCAAAGACAAGCAATGGGGATTTGACAACTCACAGAGGTAAAATGGTGTGGCTAGCACCACAGTACTACGCCAACATGAGGCAATACCTTACAGCCACCCTCACGTTCAGCTTCACACTCACGCTCGCACTCACTCTTATACTCAATCTTGCACCCACTCACACACAGACACACAAATACTCTCAACTTTCTTAAACACTCAAAAACAAACACACAAACCTACACGCTCTCTCACGCGCTCTCTCACGCGCACTCTCTCGCACACTCTCACGCGCACTCTCATGCGCACTCTCACGCGCGCTCACGCGCGCTCTCACGCGCAATCTCACGCACACTCTCGCAATCACTCTTACGCGCACTCTCACGCGCTCTCTCACACGCTCCCCACGCGTCTCTCACGAGCTCTCTCACACGCTGTCTCACGCGCTCTCACGCGCACTCTAACGCGCTCTCTCACGCGCACTCTAACGTGCTCTCTCACGCGCGCTTTCATAAGCTCTCTCACACCCACTCACACACTCTCTCACGCGCACTCTAACGCGCTCTCTCATGCGCTCTCTCACGCGCTCCCTCATGCGCTCTCTCACGCGCTCTCTTACACACTCTCTCACGTGCGCACTCTTACACGCTCTCTCACATGCACTCTCATGCGCACACTCACGCGCACTATCACACGCTCTCTCACGCGCTCACTCACGCGCGCTCTCACGCGCACACTCACGCGCTCTCTCACGCGCACTCTACGCGTGCACTCTCACATGCGCACTCTCACACGCACTCTCACGCGCACTCTCACGCGCTCCCTCACCTGCCCTCTCACGCGGCCTCTCACACGCTCTCACGCGCACACGCACTCTCACGCGCACACTCACGCGCACTATCACACGCTCTCTCACGCGCTCACTCACGCGCGCTCTCACGCGCACACTCACGCGCTCTCCCACGCGCACTCTACGCGTGCACTCTCACATGCGCACTCTCACACGCACTCTCACGCGCACTCTCACGCGCTCCCTCACCTGCCCTCTCACGCGGCCTCTCACACGCTCTCTCACGCGCACACGCACTCTCACGCGCTCTCTCACGCGCACTCACGCGCTCCCTCACACTCTCTACACGTGCGCACTCTTACACGCTCGCTCACACGCACTCTCACGCACACATTCATGCGCACTCTCATGCGCTCTCTCACGCGCTCTCTCACGCGCGCTCTTACGTGCACACTCATGCGCTCTCTCACGCGCACTCTACGCGTGCACTCTCACATGCGCACTCTCACGCACACTCTCACGCGCACTCTCACGCGCACTCTCACGCACTCTCTCGTGCACTCTCAAGCGCACTCTCACACGCACTCTCTCGCACACCCTCACGCGCTCTCTCACGTGCGCACTCTCACGCGCACTCTCACGCGCACTTTCACGCGCTCTCTCACATGCCCTCTCACGCGGCCTCTCACACGCACTCTCACACGCACCCTCACACACAATCTCACGCCCTCTCCCACGCGCTCTTTCACGCGCACTCTCACGCACGCGCTCCCTCACACTCTCCCTCACACGTCTCTCACGCGCTCTCTCATACGATCTCTCACGTGCTCTCACGTGCTCTCATACGCACTCTCACGCGCTCTCTCATGCGCTACGCGCTCTCTCACGTGCTCTCTCACCTGCCCTCTCACGTGGCCTCTTACGTGGCCTCTCGCGCACTCTCACGCGCTCTCTCACGCGCTCTCTCACGCGCACACGCACTCTCACGCGCTCTCTCACGCGCTCTCTCACGCGCACACGCACTCTCACGCGCTCTCTCACGCGCTCTCTCACGCACACTCTCACGCGCTCTCTCACGCGCTCTCTCACGCGCACTCTCACGCACACTCTCACGCGCTCTCTCACGTGCACACGCACTCTCACGCGCACTCTCATGCGCTCTCTCACGCGCTCTATCACGCGCTCTCTCACGCGCTCTCTCACGCGCACTCTCACGTGCACTCTCACGCGCTCTCTCACGTGCACACGCACTCTCACGCGCACTCTCACGCGCTCTCTCACGCGCTCTCTCACGCGCTCTCTCACGCGCACTCTCACGCGCACTCTCACAAGCTCCGTCACGCGCTCTCTCACGCGCGCTCTCGCGCGCACTCTTACGCGCACTCTCACGCGCTCTCTCGCGCGCACTCTCACACGCTCTCACGTGCGCTCTCTCATGCGCACTCTCAAGCCCTCCCTCACGCGCTCCCTCACGCGCTCTCTCACGCGCTCCCTCACGTGCGCACTTTCACGCGCACTCTCACGCTCTCTCTCACGCGCACTCTCACGCGCGCACTCTCACGCGCACTCTCACGCTCTCTCTCACGCGCACTCTCATGCGCGCACTCTCACGCGCACTCTCACGCGCTCTATCACGCGCTCTATCACGCGCACTCTCACGCACAATCTCGCGCGCGCACTCTTAGGCGCTCTCTCACGCTCTCTCTCACGCAATCTCTCACGCTCTCCCTCGCGTTCCGTATCTCCCCTTCTTAAAATGAAAGTGCAATGCAAGAGGAGACCAATTGACACAGTAAATTTACGAGGAGAGCAGAAAATTTAGGAAATTTCAGCGGGGGGAGGGAGGATGAAAGGACCGGGACGCACCTAATAACCACGGTGTCTCAGCAAACAATCCGCGCTGGCGCACCAACCCGCACTCGCGCACCAACCCGCGGTCGCGCACCAACCAGCGCTCGCGCTCCAATTCGCACTTGCGCTCCGGGCATCTGTCGCCGGAGGCGACAGCGGGGAGGAGGGAGAGGCGACGGCGGGGAGGAGGGAGAGGCGACGGAGGGTAGGAGGGAGAGGCGTCGGCGGGGAGGAGGGAGAGGCGACGGCGGGGAGGAGGGAGACGCGGCGACAGGGAGGAGGGAGAGGCGACGGCGGGGAGGAGGGAGAGGCGACGGCGGGGAGGAGGGAGAGGCGACGGCGGGGAGGAGGGAGAGGCGACAACGGGGAGGAGGGAGAGGCGACGGCGGGGAGGAGGGAGAGGCGACGGCGGGGAGGAGGGAGAGGCGACGGCGGGAAGGAGGGAGATGCGACGGCGGGGAGGAGGGAGAGGGGATGGCGGGGTGGGATGGAGAGTGGATGGCGGGGTGGGAGGGAGCAGCGATGGAAAGGTGGGAGGGAGAGGCGATGACGAGATGGGTGGGAGGGAGAGGCAACAGGTGGTGGGGGAGGAGAAGTGATGACAAGGTGGGAGTGCCAAACAAGTAACTGCAGTAACCGAACTGGGAAAGTGTAAGGATTTACAAATCCTTACTGAGGCACTCGTTAGCGAGGACATCCCGAGGGTCACGCGACGAACCTGTCCTTCCTATTTCGTCGCACCGAACCACTCCCGAGTCGGCCTCCGCTCCAATCGCAACCATCACCGAGCCATCCTCGCCCAACCTCTCCGCCTAGCTAGGACTTCCCCTATTTAATCGTACCTTTCTCATTGTATCGTCATTCAGTAATTCAGTAATCAGTCATTCTCGTTATTCGTTTTACTGCGCACTCTGCAAGTTCATTCATAACACCTGGTATCAGAGCTACTTTCCTAGCCTACCCCGCTTTTTAGAGTGTAGTACTCCTCGGGGGGGGGGGGGGGACGAGGAAGGATGTCTTGGGGTCCAGGAGTTGCGTAGGCCGGCCAGGAGAATGAGTTAGTTGCTCCTCGCGGCCATGGTTTTACAGGTACTCCTTCGGCACCGCCAGATCCTTACCTCGAACGGTCGCGATCGACCGTGGCCTCCCGCCCCCCGGGCAACGGGCAGCTGTAGCTGTCGCGACGTTTATGTGAGTAATTTCCGCTGCGATTTATCGACGATTTCGGAAGTTTTGTGTGGCAGCTGGCGTCAGCGGACCTGCGTCGGCACCTCCACGAAATTCGCGGAGTCGTCAACGTGTGTGGCAGTTGACGCCGTCGGACCTGGGTCAACAGCTGCGCGACAATTTCGGAGTTCGTCTGATGTGGCAATTTACGACGGTGGCTCGTCGTCATTTTGCGCGCATGACTCGCAGAATGTGTTTCGGCAGCTGGCGACAACGGACGTGCGTCACTGTGGGCGACAATTTCGGAGCAACTGTGGAGAAAAAGTCAGCTGGGGAACTCGCCAGGCGCAAATGGAGTTTTGCGTCCGAAAATATCGGTGGACGAGGAGAGACGACACGCGAATTGCCCGAATTGTGCGGGGTCAACTGTCGTCCCGCCCGACCTGAAGTGCAGCGGCTTTTACTGCATGGCGGGCGCGTCATCGAAGATTTCGGCAGGAGTGCACGTGGACAGACGGGAACTTCAGACCCGCCGACACTTATGGGTTGCAACAGAAAACGGAGTGGCTAAATCGCACTCAAGAGGAGTGGGACGCAGGCGGCGAGGGCAATTCGGGCCCATACACCCCGAAGAACACTCGGATGACGCTGCTTGCCTGAAACTGTTGACTACTGGCCGGCATTTTCGAGAGTGGATTTCCTGTAAGGAAGTCATTTTCGGGGACAGCCTCAACAGCCCACGATTAAACGGCGTTCAACGTACTGCTCCGACATTTACGGAGGAGTTGGTACAGGCCGCCGGGACACACGAGAAGAAACTGCCCGACGGCTAAGCGGGGGTTGAAGAACGGCGTGAACGGCAGGTTAAAAGCCGGTGTGAACGATCTGTGACCTTCCGTCGCCCGAACCTCACCATCCCCACCAAGTTTCTAGTTCTGACTCATGCAGTCAACTTGCTTGGCCGAATAACGGGGGTGAACACGGGCCTACCCTGTGCTGGTTAACGGTACCTGGATTGGTGCTCGTTCGACAGCTGTACAAAAGAAACAAAAAAAAAGTGGAGTTGCTGCACTGTTCTGCTCCGACAAAAGCGGGCTGGGTGAAACAGCACGCGAAAAAATCGGGGCGCCGCAAGGACAACAATGGTGCAGTTCGCTGGTTTCTCCTGACCCGGGCGTCTACACGAGGTGACGACGCAGCGGCAAAGCGGGGACCGGGATACTGTGGAGTTTAGTGGCGTGACGGTCGCGGTGGGCTGCAAAACGGTTGGGCGACCGATCCTTTTAATTAAGGGACCCCAACTCCGATAGTTTTTTCCCCTCCACCGTGGCTGGGTTCGCGCGGGCAACACCGACTATACCCCATCTGAAAAATGCGGACGCTGGGTGAACGGCGGGAAGCGGAATTGTCGGGGGGTGAAACGACCAAAAAATTATGAAGCTGCGGGTATTTCTTCGCTTCTTGGAGTGCGGTTGAGTCGTTGGGGGACTACGCCTGAAGGGCACTTTTCGAAGTTGCCTGGCAAGAAACACAACGGCAAGGATACCTAGGACCCCCGGTGTTTAAACGCACACCTCGGGAAATTCTTCAAAAAAGGGGAGCGTGGGAGCAGTCGTAGCTTCGGGAACTGATCGACCGGCGACGAGCGATGCGGTGAAACATCTACAAAGCGCTGGTGGGAGAAACGTGGGTTTTGGTTAAACAGCATCGGCGGAAGCAGTTTTCGACTACGAAGTCAACGGCGTTGATGCCACTAGGTTCCGTGAAATTCGGTCTCGGAATAACCCAGGGCAGTCCCCGGTTCTCGATTGAACCCACATGCTGGGGTCGGGTAGCCGACGGAAGCTGATGGTGACCGAGTGGGCGGCTATAGCACGTCCGAGATTTTCGGAGGCGAACTGCAACTGCAACTGCGGATTTACGGGGTCTGATTCGAGCGACAATTTCGGAGTGTTTACGTGGAGACTTACAGGTTTTATGGCAAGGAGCGCCGACAATTTCGGAAACCCGAGGGTCACGCGACGAACCTGTCCTTCCTATTTCGTCGCACCGAACCACTCCCGAGTCGGCCTCCGCTCCAATCGCAACCATCACCGAACCATCCTCGCCCAACCTCTCCGCCTAGCTAGGACTTCCCCTATTTAATCGTACCTTTCTCATTGTATCGTCATTCAGTAATTCAGTAATCAGTCATTCTCGTTATTCAATTTACTGCGCACTCTGCAAGTTCATTCATAACAGAAAGGTTAAGGTTATATAAGGTCGTAACCGTGTACAACAAAACATAGAGCAGCTAGAAATTTGGTCGATACAACCAAACGCCCAGGGGCGTACGTAGGAAAATACGTTATTTCTCTATCCATTGGATAACCACCAGCCCAGCTGGGGAGCATTCTATGCTCAAAAAAAGGAGAAAGGGCTAGGGGGGGCGGAAGGGGCCCCCAAGCAGCCAGGAGGAGCGGAGGTCTGGATGGATAGAAGGGGTTCCGTTGTGGTCGAAGACGAGGAAGCGAAGACGAGTGGCCAGCTTAATGCGAGCGGCTGAGCGTAGTTGTTTTTTCGCTGATTGTTTCTTCCTGCGCCATAAGAAAAATTTGAAAGAAATGAGGAGCTTTGCCAGGATGAGCTGGAGGATCTCAAACCGGAAGGAGGGCGAATCTTGGAACTTGTGTTTGTTGGTGCAACCCTACGGTTTGCACTTGGCTTGTTGTCCGTGTGTGTGCAGCAGACCCATCAAGAACTCAAGGATGAGTTTGTGATGAAGAGCCCGAGCCTTGGTGTCAAGCCTCAAGTGATTTCGAAGCTCGCCAAAAGGGTACACCTCAAGATATTGAAGATAGTTACATTACTTTGTGTAGTGTAACATTTCACTTGGTGTAGGCCCTAGTGAAGGGTAGTTTCGAGACCCTTCGTGGTTGGGGACAGTGTGGCACTGTTCCACATCACTGTACCTCGGCTCTTGGGGTTTGTAGGAGCTGGGAGTCATTCCCAACTCGTAACTCTTCATATCTCTTCCTATTTTGTGTTCTAAGACTATAGTGGCTGCCATAGTGCCGTTCGTTCAAACCAACACTGTGTCGTCAATACTTGGTGAAATTGTGCGATCTAAATTGCCTATTGTAGGCGACGTTCAGACGCTCCAGATCCAAGTTGAATCAGGTCATTTGAAGTTGTGACCAGAACGCTATGAACGTTTGAAGCCGCTGTGCAGAAATCCGGCTGTGCACTCTATCTTTCGTTTTAGGCACATTGGAGCCTATTGTGACTATAACAGTGTTCACAGCGTGCATTCCAAATAGCTTTTGTGGATGCCCCAACCAGGAGGCTCCAGGGGGCCACCTGGCCAGCTCTGGAGGCGAGCGGGAAGAGCAGGAGCTCAGGAGGAGGAGAGCAGTGGAGATGACGACGAGCCACGGAGGAGAGAGCGGAAATCACTGCAGGGGCCACCCCACACTCGTATAAAATGTGGGAAATAGTCTCTGTGGGTGCGGCAAGGCAGAGCGAACAAATCCCCCGGACTACGGCGAAGTTGAAACGCGAGCCCGAAGGAAGAGCACGTGTGTAGAACCGGAACAGGACGTCGCGCTAGAGGCTGGGTTGCTCGCGTAAAAAATTGTGGGAGAGGTCGGGGAGAAGGGGAGGAGGAGCTAGGAGGACGTGGATCCAGCGGGCGGCGTGGTCGAGGGGAAGCTGAGTATAGAGTCGGCGGCGAATGTCAGCTACGCTGGGGCATCCGTCCTGTAGGATGTCGAGCCCTGCACCTGTATGGAAGGGGCCTGCAAGCCAGGACCCAACAACGTGTACCGCAGAGAGGGCAATTATGTGAAAGGTGCCATCTCCAAACGCCGGCCGGACGATGAAGCGGTTGGGAAGGACACGGTGAAGAGAGACTGAGAGCGACGACGGAGGGGAGAAGGCCGTGACCAGAAAAGCGAGAGTGGGGGAGGTTTCAGAGTCTTCTTTAGGAACGAACCACTCCCCAAGGGCTGCCGTGGGGGGAGGGGGGGAGCGGGAAAGGGGGGAGGAGGCATGAAACACAACACGAAAAAGACGATGGGGCAAAACGAAAACACTTAAAACTCGAGTATCACATGGTATTTTTCAAATTCAAGTTTCTTGAAATTAATTTCGTGAATAACCATGTTACCAGCTGGTTCAGAACAATCCGTCGGTTTCAAGCAGCAGAGGTGATCCGTGATTGGCCAGCGATAAACAAGAACAACCAGCAGGAAAAAGGCCTCAGAGGAAAGCACTGTTCACCTTGAGTAAACTTGAAAACCATCGGGAACGCTTGGACACGCATATTATGAGGCACGCTAGTAGTAGTTCTCCCGTAACAAACGGGCAATCTTCAGTCTAGGCGCTCTGTTCAAAGACACGAAT